TCAGGTGAGGGCCCCCTCCCCCCCCCCCCAGCGCGGCGGGATCCCCCGGGAGACAGAGGGACAGGAGCAGCACTGCCACCAAGTTGGGTCGGTCCCCACAGACCCGGGATGGAGCCTTTGTGCCAGGAGAATAAAAGTGCCAAGAGACAAGGCCTCCTGGAGCACACCTGGCCGAGGGTTTCAGTGCGCACCGGCAGGGCAGTGGTCACCAGCCCGACCAGGACGCCCAGCGCTCGGGGACAGGGGTGCCACCAACACACAGTGCTCAGCTCCGGTGCCACCGGCTGAGGGGACAGGGATGGGCAGTGCGCCCTGAGCACCAGAAGGGACCGAGAGCCATTCCCGGTGTGCCCAGTGTCATGGCTGATGAAGGAAGGTCTCCCAGGTCCATCGGCAGCTTCGTGTGGTCTGTGAGCTCACCAGGCCCCCGCCGGACCTGGTTCAGATTCTTCTGGAATTTGGGAACAGGTTCCAGTGCTGGGGTGGACGGACGGGCACGCAGAATAGAAACCACATTTTTTCCATAGGAAATTGCAGCTAAAAATTAACGTCTTTGAAAAATAAAGCTAATTTTGCAAAGTTGCTCGGTCTCCCAGCTGGCCACACACTCGGGGCAGGACAGGGGCTGCCTGGGAGCCTGGGGCTTGGCCAGCAGCTCTGCCCCAGCTGCGCTCAGCCCTGTGACCCCAAATCCCTCACGTCATGGGGGCCGGCTTGCAAAGATGCGTTCAGCTCCCAACCTTTCCATCAGACTCCCTTTCATCTCAGATCTTTTCATGTATCCAGACGCTACTACAGACCCAGGCGGGAGGCAGCAGGCAAGTTCTTATTTATCTCAGACAAATTAAGGTCAGACCACCCGTTCGGTTTTTTGCAAGATGGGAACTTTTGCAAAGGGGGCTGTGTTGCAGCGCAGCTGGAGCATCCTCCGGGCTATTCCTACGTCGTAGCTCTGCACTCAACTCTGCTGCAAACTTTGCAAGCACCTAAGAGAGCAGTCCCCGTGCCATGCCTGGTGCAACCCGGGAGGATGCAGGGCTGCCCACGGGTGCCACAGCCACAGAGCCGGGAGGATTCTCCGTGCCACAGGCTCTGGCATGGCAGGTAGTGTCCTGCCCCATCTCTCCAGCTGACATTGGGAGTCAGGAGAAGTTCACTTTGCCGGGGCTCTGCCTGGTGTGGGGCTCGATGGCATGTCGTGGCCGAGCACTCCTCCAAGACGGGTTTGGCAGCACGCTGGGCTTGGCCGTGCTGCCTCCTCTCGTGCTTCACAGCGGTGTCAGCGCCGCAGGGTCCCGGAGGTGGGGCGGGAGCGGCATGTTCCAGCCAAAAGGGTGGGAGGGGGACAGAGCATGTCCAGCAACCCCCTCGCGTCCTTTCGGAGCCTTCCTCCTGCGGCAGCTCCGTGCCTCTCCCCACCCCAGCCAGGAATCCTGCGCCGACCCTGCCAGGGCGGCTCCAGGTGGGAGGAAAGCTGCTGCCAGCCTCCGCGCTGGAGCACAGCCCCCTCCGTGACGGCAGAGCTGGTGAACACGCTCCATCACCGCTGGAAAATGCCAGATTTCGGGGACAACATCCGCTCTGCACACCGCAGCCAAAGCAACCTGGGGTGAATCATGGCCAGGCTGGAGCCGGGCTTGCTCAATGGGACATGGCTCCGCAGCAGCAGGCTTTGAAGACAATGAAAGGCTCACGCACTTGTTTTTCCTGATTCAGGGGGGTTTCCTCGGGCCCACGAGCTGTTCACAGCACAAGCACACGCAGCGCAGCCAGATTGTCATCTGCAACCACTTCTGGCAGCACCATGAGCAAGAGCAGCTATGCCAGGGCCGCAGCTGCACACCATGTGAGGCTTAGCGATCCTCCTCCCTGCACCTGAGCCGGGCTGCCGGCCCCAAGGATGGGCTGCGGGCAGGCGGACGGGCTGGCTGGAGGGGGTGATGCAGCCCCCGGGCTCCCGGGGTGGGCGCGGGCCCCCCCCGGGAGGGCCCGGCGTGACCCTGTGCAGCCCAGGTTGAAGCTCCGCGAGCCCCATTGTGGAGGGCCTGTGTCCTGGGAGGGCGGTTGACCATGGGCTATGGAAACAGGCATGAATCAGAAGCAGCCCTGCCAGAGGTCCCCGCCTGCCCTCGCTCGGCGCGGTCCATGCCCGACCTGCCCCACGGTTAGAGCTGGGGCAAATGGTGATGTCCGGGTGCTGCCGCACCTCCCGTTTGCCAGTGGGTGAAACGGCATGAGCTGTGGAATGGCTGTGGAGGGGACGGTCAGGTTTATTTTGCAAGAACACTTGTACAAAACTACACCCCTGAAGGCAAGCCAGCAGCCAAGGGCAGTATCTGCTGGGGAAAACAGAGAAACACCATGGGACTGGCTTGGCGCCGCTCACAGCCAGAGGAAAAGTCTACAGAGAGCAAACATCACGGCTTGGAGCCAAGGTTCAGCCAGCAAGGAGTCAAGTAGAAGTGCTCTAAGCAGCAAACACCAAGTGAGCAGGAGATCCCAGCCTCAGCCTAACATCCTGTTATTTGGTCTTTGAGAGCAGATCCGAAGGCTAGATTAGGGCTGTGGTCCTCCTAGTTCAGCACTGGGGAGGAGCAGGAGCCTGGCTGCTCTGCTGACAGCACCTCGGGGCACGGCGCAGTTCCCCTAATTCCTCAATCAGATATCTCCTTCCCTAATTAAGGCTTGGAAGAGAGCAGTCCTTTCATGTATATCCTCGGTATCTTTTTTTTTCCCCCCACGTAGTGAAATTTGCTTTGATCCAGGCGTGCAGCAGTCAGCTCCAGGGGTTGGTCACGGCAGAGCCATCCCAGCCTGTGTCTGTCCCAGCTGCTTCGGGCATGTGGGTCCCCAGTGGGTCCCCAGGCCCTGTCCCGTGCCCAGCAGGACACACGGATGCTGCTCCTGGCTGTCCTCAGCCCCCAGGAGGAGCTTCCCGGGGAGATGAGACCCATGCTGGGAGATGGCCAAGCCAGAGGAGGAACCGCACAGAGGCTGTCCCTTGCCTGTCCCTACCACCTGTGGTCCAGCCCAGCAGGTGACAGCCAGGTCTATCCCATGGGGTCCCTTCTTTTGTGCAGACATGCCCGATGGGCCCCGCAGCAGGGTGCCTGCTGCCTACCCGGCACGGGCCCTCCTCCTCCAGCCCTTGCTCCTGCTGATCCTGCTCTGACTCTGCAGCCTGAGGCCAAGAAGCCCGGAGGGCTGCAGCGTGGCTTGGCCATGCTGGGGGCACACAGCCCCGCTGTCCCCGGCGAGTGGACCTGCCATCTCCTGTCAGGTCACACTCCGACTCCCAGAGTCCACCACAGAGCAGGCATGGCCGTCCTCGCCATGGCCATGGGGCCTCAAAGTGCTGCAACCCCGGGTTGTGTTCCCCTTTTGGACACATATGCTGCCGAAACAGGGAAGTGCCCACCTCAGGGTCACTGTTTTTGCACAGGACCAGCCGCTCCAGCACAGAGAAGTTCCTCCCCTCCTGGTGGGACAGCTGCAGGGAGGGGGCGCGGGCAGTGGGAAGGGCAACATGCCCCGCTCGGGCACCCGGCTCTGCCTGCTCAGCCCAAACCTGCTTGGTTCGGGTCGCTTCTCCCACGGTCCCGCTTCCCCTGCAATGGGAGGGGGTTCCTGCTCAGCTCCGCACATTTTGGGGGCTCTCGGGTTTGGGCACATTGCTTCCCACAGCGGCGGTTAAACCCAGGCAGGCTGCTGGAGACGGGGTCACCATCAGCACCGTTTGCAAGACAGGCGGCCAGAGCCCCGCTGAGGGATGCAGCCCATGTGCCTGGGCTGGTTTTGCTGAGAACATTACTTTGTCGGGGAACTGTAAAACCTGCAAAGTGCCAAGAGCTCCACGCTGAGACGGCATTTTTCTGCAACAAGGAAGGCCATTTCACGGAAGAAGGACTGGAGTCAACCCCCTGTTAAGCACCTGGAGGAAACTGGATTGTAGGGGCTGGGGATGGAGCTGATGGGATTCGAGACACGATTTTATTCTGCAACATGCTCCATGGATGCCTGCCATAAGCAGCATTACTCCTCGACATCCCTGGGCTCACAGGCAGCCCGAGCCCACAGTGGCTGTGCCAGTGTGCAGTGAACTGCTGCGGCACGTGGGCACGGGAACGAAACGATGGCTCAGGCCACTGGAGCTGTCCCTGCTGCTCCCAGCCCTCCATCCTCACCCCCAAACTGCAGTATCACCCGATATGTGTTTGGGGAGAGCAGGGA